GCATGCTTTGTTTTCTGAACTATTTGAAGGTAAGTTACAAGCGTCCTGTCCCTTTGTGTCGAAATACTTCAGTGTGTCCGTCCCAAGAACAGGGACCAGATAATGCTTTAAATGGTGCTATTTTCAGCAAATGGGTGGCTTAACACCATTATAAGCCTTTTTCCTGGTGACACTGAACTCCAGAGTAACAAGGTTGCCTCTGTGTCCCTGCTACCCTCTCCTGTGACAACCTAGCGCTGGAGGGAAGTGGGGGAAGGGTGAAAGGTGAGAATGCTCCATGCTAATCGTCACAACAGGTGCAGACTAGGTACATCGGTGTATTGGATCTAAATGTGTGTGCTTGTGCAGCGTGGAAAGATCTGGTCTGGTCTGTGAGCAGCGGCAGCCTCCCCTTGCAGTGTGCGGAGCAAGCGGGCGTGTGAGTAAGCATCTGTGTAGGAGGGCCCGGAGTTGTCGTCTTGCTGGTGTTCCTCCGGAGCGCTGAAACCTTGTGGGACAGTGTGGAGAACCTGATTTCCTTGCCCGCCCACCTTGGAGCCCGGTTGGAAAGCTTAGAATGAATTGGAATGTCACTGATGCCCTGGCCTTTGGCAGCTTTGAGGGTATCGGCGATTTGATTTGGCCCTCGTGGTGCAGAGAAAAATCACGGGGTCCTGGGAGTCGGTGTGGGTGAGTCCTCATCCCCGCTCTGCTGTTCGCTCCCTGTGCGGTGTTAGGCACGCCTCCCGGCCACCGTGTTTTCCTGTTTTGTTAACTTAGACAGTTGGAATGGATGGACATCTTCCTGGTCGAAAACCTGGTGGTTTATGTGCGGAGGTGGGACAGCATAGTAATGAGCGATGCACGTAGGGGTCCAGAAGACTTTGAACTTCCTCCTGCCGTGGGTCATTGAATTCTTCCCACTGCCAGCTGGGAAATTCCGACAGACTTCCTGAAAAGGGGGCTCAAAATATTGGGGTGCCCATGGGAGACTGTGTCAGTGCTTGTTTGTAGAGTTTTTAAAAACAGGACTCTTGGTTTGGTTATTGAAAAGGTCATGGGAACCTGGTCGCCCAGGGTTGGTTGTAATCCTGACAGCAGGGCCTCTGTCTTGCACGCTATACCCTCTTGGTATGTTGTTGCTGGTGGCCCCCAGGCAGGAGGTGACACTCCCAAAGCGGTCGGTCACTACATAAAATGTGTCTCTCTCTTGTTTGTTTCCCACCTGCTTTCCGAGCCCCTTTCTCGGACAGGTAAGATACCGTCTTTCTTACAGATGACCCACGTCACAGGTGTCTCCCTCTGCTTGGATGTGTGCATGTTGGGGGTGCTGTTGGGCGGGCCACCGGGTCGGGATCCTATCACCTTTCAACCATCTCCATTAGGTTCTGAACCACCAAGCCTCTGGTCCAAAGGGAGGGACAGAGCGTGGGGGTCATCGGTGCCATCAGCAGGAAGGGGGCTCCTTGCACGTCCATCAGGTCTGGAAATGCAGGAAGCCCCCAGCCAGAATCCCACCTCAGACAGAAGGGCGGTTGCTCCCGGACTGACCTCGAGAGAGGGTCTTGAGTGGCTTTTGTAAATGGAAAAAGGCCCAGGAGCAGTTTCTCTACAATGTCTGCCCATAATGTGGTCGGTTTTTTAAGTATTCGTATAAAAAGCCAGTTCAATGAAACCAACTTCTTAAATGCCGACTCATGCCAGGTTCCATGCTGAGCGTTGTAGAAAATAAAAGTCAAGATGTTCCATCCCCTCCAAAAGCTGACCGTTTTATCATAGAGACAAGGTGTGTTGGCCAGAAAGTCTCAGAGCATTGTAAAGAGACCAAATGATGGGTTATCTTTAAACTTCTTAAGAATTCAGTACATGCGTCCTAAAAGGTAGAGAGCAGGAAGTGTAGAAAATCCTCAACGGTGCCTAATCCAGAAGCTATTTATGTTTTATTAGAATGTGTTTTTAAAATAAGAAGAGCTCACCATTTACCAGTCACATTGACAGGTGTTTTTGGTACTTACACATTCAGAAATGAGCATGTCTGCACTAAAAGTTCACTTTAAACCAAGAAGGAAACCACCACGGAAACATCTGAGCCAGGAAGTGGTGAGGGATCAGGATCTCCTTCCCCTGCGAACCTCTCTTGAACATTTGCCCTGGTTTCGTGGTGGCCCAAATACGTTCTAGTTTGGGGGAAAAGAGTCAAATGCTTTCATTTCCAAGGGCTACTCTGAGTTCACAGATGTTATGATCAAAGAAAAATTAGGAGGGTGCGGGATGTGTGATAGGCAAGTTACGCGAAAGCAGGTGACATGGCAAGATAACGCCTTTAGGAGGAGAGTCAGGAGCTGATAACCCCTTTGTGGGTCCGGCTGGAGCTCTTGCTAGTGTGACGTGTCTACACCTGGAGACCAGGCAGCCTGAACCTGTCAGCTCTGTGCCCCGGCCCCCAGGGTTGTCCCCACCCAGCTCTTCACGGCCCCCGAAGTGGTCCTTTCCGTGTGTGTGCGGTAGATACGCACACTGGGGGGATTCATCCACCCCTCGTCCCCCGCTTCCTGTGCCGCCCAAAGACCTTTACAATAGGGCTTCCCTAGGTAGTTACAGAAGGGATACGGCTGCTGAAAGCACAGTAAAGAGACCTGCATCCCCTGTCCCAGGACTCCGCAGTGCAGGGCAGGAGAACTACTTTATGCCGAGTTCAGCAGAAGACAAAGCATCCCCCCGACCTCAGTTACTCTTGGGAAGGCTCTGCATGCATAGGCCTTTACAGGTGTTGATGAAGATTGGAGTCTGTGATCAAGTATAACCTCTCCTTCCCCAAGATTGACAGAATATACGGAGCAGTTGGTAAGGACAGAAACCTCACGCGTGATTCCAAGGCCCCCGGGGTGCATCTGGAGCTCCCTTGAGGATTGAGCTGGATCTCCAGGTCGGGGAGGAGTCCCTGTTGCCAGTGTGTAGACCATGTGGCTTACAGCCCTGAGCTCCGTTCCTTGGAGTTATGATCTCGGCCTCCATAAGTCTCCAGCTGCAAAATGGGTTTAGCAGTTCAACTCAGGATACTCATTGAGCACCTACTGTATACCAGACCAGGCTAGCCGTTCAGGACACGGAAGTGAATGAGACATGGCCTTCACCCTCCAGATGTTCACAACCCGGTGGGTTTGAGTTAATCTTTCGAACCAAAGATCCCGGAGAGAAGGCCTTCTGCGAGGTGTGTTCCACGATCCCAGGCAGAGCGAGGTGGTGGAAAGGGAGAGAAAACCTGAGCTCTGGTTCCACCCCACCAGTAATCGGCCCCGTGACCTCGGGCCTGCCAGGTACTTATCACTGGGAGCCCCACCTTGCTCATGTATAAATAGAATTCCTGCCACCACCCCTCCAGGTTGTCGTGAGGGTGTCGGTCAAGTTCCCCCGGCTTCCTTGGCCCCGAGTTCGTACGCGTTTGGTGTGAGCCCGGCCGGAGTCCCCACGGCGCATCTGAGCATGCAGCTTCCCATTGTCCCCAGTGCCTCCTCAGGAGTAAGGAGGCCCGTTTCCCACCGTGAAAATGTGCCACGCAGGTGGCTTCCACTTTGAGCCTGACCTCCAGCGTCTGTCCCCATGCTTGTGTCCCCTCAGCTTGTGTTCACAGCAACATACAAATACCGTAGTTCATTACTTCCATCATTTCTTCTTCAGACGGCTCGGTGACCCCAAGGTAAGGGGTCAAGCCGTGGGGCAAGGAGGCAGGTTTCACGGGATGAGTTACCTTTAGGTTCTAAGTTTATGGCTGGAGCTTGCCCCTCATTAACTGGGTGGGGCAGAACTAGAGTGGCTAGTTCTAGCAATGGATGGACTTTCCCATCAAGAAAACCGGATCGGGAGGCTCAAGAGTGTGCCGGCTCTTTTGAATGTTCCCAAAGCCTCGGGAAGGGACAGCTGTGGGCGTGGGATCAGGGAACGCAGCAGAGTGACGTGGCCCAGAGCCCCGCGTGCCTCCGCTCACCGTTCCCATCTTCCCCTCTGTTTGCAGTGGACCACAGCATGTTCGAGAACTTGAATGCGGCCCTTCCTCCAAAGCTGCAGCCCGGCTGCTCCCTCCCCCACCTGTCCAGGCTGACGGCCCCCGGCTCTGCCGCCCCGGGGTCTGCGGAGCCTGGGGGGCCGGGGCTCCGGGTGGGTGGCAGCCAGCACCTCAAGAACCTGGGCAGAGCCGTGGGGGCCAAAGTTAACGACTTCCTGAGGAGAAAAGAGCCCTCGAGCCTGGACGGTGCGGGCGCCATGGAGATCAACAGGCCGGCGGGGGCGCGGCTGAACGGCGGGGCCGTGGAGGCTGACAGGTGAGCGCAGGAGGCTTGCTCGCAGAGCTCCAGGCCGAACCCGTGTCTCCGGGGGACATGAGGTTGTCACGCGGGGAATGGCCGGGGCGATGCTCCTGCTTGCTGACTGCCACCCCACCGCAGCTAAGGCGTCCTGAGCGCCCATCGCGTGTCAGCAGACGCCCGGCTACGTGCTTCCCCGTCCCTTGCAGCGACTTTGCGAGGTAGATCCCATTGTTACCACTTTGCACGTAACTGAGGTGGGGGGGGCGGGTAGCATGAGGAGCTTAAGGTTACCAAGTTAGTGATGGGCAGGGTGGAATCCGAACCCAGGCGTTGCCTGCAGCTGCCCAGGTGGATTCTAACACCCAGCCGCACCTTCGAGCCCCGGCCCCGGCCGATGACGGTGGAGGAAAGTGGGTGTCTGTGGGACCCACTGGGGCCGGCGAGGGAGAAGCCTGCTGTGGTGGGCCTCCTGTTCTCATGCCCACACGTCCCTTCTAGGCCTTGCTTTATTTATTTTTTTTAATGTCTATTTTTGAGAGACGGAGGGCACGCAGGGGAGGGGTAGAGGGAGAGGGAGACACAGAATCCGAAGCAGGCTCCAGGCTCTGAGCTCTCAGCACAGAGCCCGACACGGGGCTCGAACCCACGAACCGTGAGATGGTGACCCGAGCCAAAGCTGGATGCTTAACCGACTGAGCCCTCTAGGCTCCCCCCAGGCCTTGTTTTAAACACCTGCTGTGCTCCTGAGCCGGCAGGTCCTTTGTAGGGCTCATCACACGGGCTCTGACATGACTCGGTTCACCAGTGGTCCCAGCGGCACTACTCTGCTGTTGTGAGCACTGAGGGGGGTGTGACGGGCGGAAGGCCAGCTCTGTCGGCTGCCACAACCCACACGCCACACCGGGGACGGGGCCCGAGCAGGGAGGTGTGTGCCGGGTGGGGGAGCCACTGGGCAGCTGGGGGGCTTGGGGCGTCGCCATCCTTAAAGCACACGCGCTTGTCGCCTCAACCCCACAGGTCAGCCCTGCAGGACGCGTTCCCTCGTCTGGACCCCCCGCCTCCCATTACCAGGAAGCGAACCCCTCGTGCCCTGAAGACCACGCAGGACATGCTGATCTCGCCGCAGCCAGTCCTGAGCAGCCTGGAGTACGGGACAGAGCTGCCTCCTGGGCAGCCCCGGGAACCCCTTCCCGCCGCCCAGCCTGACGTTCCCGCGGAAACGGCAGAGAGGGGCGAGGCTCTGCCCAACGGAGAGGTCTCCCTGTCAGTGCCCGACCTGATCCACCAGAACAGCCAGGACGAACCCAAACCGAAGATAACTGAGTGCAGAAGGGCCTCCTCCCCTGGCCTCCTCGAGAGGAACGGCCTCAAGCGCAGCCTGAGCCCCGTCCGCCTGGCCCAGCCGCCGGAGGACAGTGGCCCCCCGCCTCGGGCACGGACCTCCAGCCTTGACAATGAGGGCCCGCACCCAGACCTGCTGTCCTTTGAGTAGGGCCCCTTCTGCCTGCCGGGCACCCCCTTCCCCTCTGCCGTCCCCATCCCTGGTGCCCCCTGGCCCTTGCCCCGGCTCCGCGTGCCCTTTGCCCCCTTGTGCAGAGATCAGAGCGCCGATCCGGGGCCAGGCTCCCTGAGTCACCCTAGTTAGAGCCTCTGTCTGCCGAATGCTAAAGGGCTGGGCTGTGGCTCCCGAGCCTCATTTTCTAGAAGCTCCCCCCTCCGGGGCCGGCTGCCACACTGGGGGATGGGAGCATCGCTGTTCCCAGGCAGCCCGGACTTCCCACCGACCTGCAGGGCCACCAGCCTGGGATGAAGGGTCTTGCAGGAATGGTCTCTGCCTGCCCCCCACATGCCACCTGTGCCCCCGCCCCCACTCTTCTCCCTTCAGACCCTGGTTCGTTTCTTCTGCCTCTGGTTGGGGCATCGGGCCGAATGGAGAATTGATGGGTTGGGCTGACGACGGGCCCAGACCTGGAGACCCACACACCCTGCTCCTCCTGGTCCCAAGACCGTGGGTTGTCCCCTCGCCTCTACCCTTTGGGGGCCTGAGACTTGGGCGCAGCCTTGTCGCCGAGGGTTCTCAGGGCATTTTCCACCTGCCCTGTTGGGGGACACACCAGGCCCCCCAGGGCCGACCACTGAGAAGGCGCTGGGGAAAGCCATGCGACCAGCCGCTAGTGGGCTCCGTGCGCAGAAGGAAAGGCCAGGGCCCCCCTTGCTGTGTGTGAGGACAGGGCGAGGCGGGCCCCCGAGGAAGCAGAGGAAGCAGCTGAGCAGATTAGCACCTTGCTTTGGGGGGAAGGCCCAGGAACTTGGCCTCCAGGGAGCCGGCCCCAGGAGAACCCAGAGCAGAAGTCACAGAGAAGACAGGGTGAGGACAGAGAAGGCTTTGAGGGAGCGCCCACAGCCTGAAATGATGCGGCTCTGGGGTCTGGGCGTGGTGAGTGAGAGAGCCAGAGTGACCAGGGAGACTGGGAACGAGGCACAAAGCCACCTTCCACTGAGCAGGAGGCGCTGTGTTCTGCTAAGTTGCCCGGGTCTCCCTGGAGAGGCCTCCGCCCTGCCTTTCCCTGCCCTGATGACGCACGGTCCTCTCGCTCCCTGCCTTTGCGATCTATGTCAGGGACTCACCCGGTTCATCCTGCCCTCCTGGCTTTACCCATTTTATGTTCCTCTGTCCCACCAGGAGTCCCTGTCAGCGGGGCGGGGTGGGTGATCCCAGCCCCGGGGGCCTTTGCAGCTAGATGATTTGTTGAACAGGGTGGCCAGCTCCCCAGGCGAAGGCAGGTGCAGCATGGCCTGACAGACTGTCGGGCTGTCTTCCCCCTAGGGTTCCTGCTGCCTCCCCTCTTCTGTCCATCATTCAGCTGCCCCCTCGCCGCCCCCCACAGTGCTCACCTTCCATCACCCAGCTCCTCCTGCCCACCCCCCCGGGAGAAACATCCAAGCTAACTCCTGTAGACTTGGAAGCCTGGGGGCGGCGGGTGGGGGGATGCCAGGAAGCTGGTTGCCCTTCCTGCGTGTTTCTGCAGCGGCTGCGACCTTGCCACAGCTTTCCCACCCCGTCTTTCATTGCTCTGGAAAGCAAGGCTTCGCTGCGTTTTCACACCGGAGCCTCATGTACCCCACGAGGGTCTGCACATGTCGGGCACCCTACGGGCCGTGGTGGAGTGGGCAGTGACTGGAGGTCTAGGTCCTGGCTCAACGCCAAGAACATCACGACGATATGCTAACCTGACCCCGAGGCTCTAAAGTTCTCGGGACCACATTTGGAGGCCTGTGAGTTTTCCCAGAATGGCTTGGAGTTTTGCACGAGACACAGAGCAGGAGGGGGTGAGGGCAGAGAGCCGAAACACATTTGCTGGGAGTTCACACAGCTCCACAAGAGCCTCCGTACGGGAAGCTTGGTTTGCTTCTCTGGTGGGGAACTAGGCAGGCCCTTGTGCTCTGGGGCTCCTCCTCCGGAGATCGGGGTAGCCCCGGCCAGGTGATGGGGGCAGCCGTGTGTGCAGAGGTTGCAGGCCCGGGCTGGCTTAAGCACCTTGCTCTGCACACCACACCCGGCCACTGCTGAGGTCCTGGCCCTCAGATTCAGGGTTAGCACGGGAACCCTACCAGCTTGTCCCGGTGCCACGGCCAGGATGACCCCAGAGTTCTCCGGACTCGTGTCTGCTACCAAACGAGGCTCCGATCTTCGGCCTCTCTGTGATCTCTACCCTGGCCATTGTCCTCCAGCCGAGGCGATGCTGCCACCTGGGGGAGGGGGGTCGAGCCTGAAATCCCGTCCTAGGTGCTGCAGACGCTACCCGGTGCTAGGGGCTAAGTGCCACCCGGGACAGCAGCAGGGGCAACTTCCAATCCTGCTGAGGGCCTGGGCAAAGACCAGTTCTCCATCCAAAGCCCCATTTGGCTTCCCATGTCTGTCTCAACAGCCTGACCTTCCTGTGATCACAGCATGGCAACCGGCACCCCCCCAACACACACACACACACACACACACACCCAGCTTCTCTGGGAGCTTGGCCCTTGGGTGGCCCAGTTACGCAAAGGCAGGATACCAAGAGTGAAGGACCATCTTCTATGTCTGCATAAGGAAGTTGGGGGCACGGAGTCTTTTCTCTCCCCGATACTCCCCCAACCCCACTGTACCCCCCTAGTCAACACGTAGCTTTCCCCTGATAAATCACAGGTGAGCTTCCAGAACCTGGCAGGTGGGTGGCACATCCCCCCGCACAGAGAGAAACGTGTCTGTTCTGTGCGTGGATGGTCTGAAGACAGACACGCACGGGATCCATCGACTTTGAAAGAGCAAAGAGGTCGGCCCCAGTCTGGGAGAGGAAGAAGATTACGGATCTATTCTGAGTATTTTCTAGATATTTTATATTTATATTTTTAGTAGTTTTCCGGTAGAAGGAAACTGCAGAATAAAATGATCGGCTTCGGTTTTGCTGGTTTCGTTTGGTTTCTCCAGACTGATGGGAAGTGGTTGGTCTTCTCGAGGCTCGCTTGTTGGGTGGAGAGCGTTGGCATTTAGGGTTATGAGCCTGCCCTGGGGAGGCGAGGTTGGGGGGGGTGGTGGTTGCTGCTGGCTGACCTCCCACCTGGGGCCCTCGGGGGCCGTCATGTGCTCCCCTAACTGGCTGGCTGCTGAGCGTCCCCCTTCCCACCTGACCTGTGGCTGTTTCAGGGGCTTCAACATGACATGCGTGGGCAAAGCCCCCTCCTCAGGAGGCGATGCGAGTGGACCCCTGGATTGTCCTCCAGGCAAGGACTTGACCTGGGGTCTATGGCCCTCTTCCACCGAGGAGGGGACACCGAGGCCTGCCCACACACAGACCTTCAGAGGGACCAGATCTGCGGTCAGGTTCTCAGAGTCACCATCAGCAGATGTCAGTCAACTACCCGGAGCTGCGGACAGAGGTACTTCCCACATTGGGGCGAGCTTGGCTCTGGCTTGCTTAGAGAACGTGGCTTAGAGCGGCGCTGGCCGGAAGCCTTGCTCCCCCAAGGCCGGTGTCGGGCCCAGGGACCCAGAGGACTCTCACAGCTGAGAACCCACCAGACCTCTAACCACTTTAAAAGGGAGGAAGCGAGAACAGATGGGAGGGGGGAGAAAAAGGCCTTCAGTCTGTTCACAGCAGCCAGACACGTTTTTAAAGGGGGGGAAGGTTGGCGCCTTCCCGCCCAGCTCTGTCCTTTGCCCCCACGACCAGGCCCAGTGGTTGGATTCGACAGCACGCGGGGTCCCAGGCTCCACATCAGAAAAGTCTGGGGCAGGAGGCTCCAGCCTTTTCCATCTCGAATTCCACTCCGTGCCTCGAGATGTGTGAAAAGACGGTGCTCTCAGGTTGCCTGCTCGCTCTGCAGTGGGCACAGTGCACTGTCCTGGGGAGGCAGGAGAAACGCAAAAACCAACCCAGCCCGTTCTATGCCTGGGGGAAAAAAGCAAAAAAAAAAAAAAAATTAAATAAATAAAGGCATTGAAAATACTTACAATAGCAACCTTTTCTTCAAGTGTAAGCTCCAATGATTATTCTTCAGGCAACTTTTCCCATTGGATGGCTCCGGGGTTGGCCTCCTCGGGCATTCAGGTGTGAAATGTGCCGTTGATACGCCTTTCTTTTCCGCTATTATGCGGGGTAGTTATTTTTGGCAAAGATCAACTAGGAAAAAGGGTAGCATAAAATTTTCTGGAAGCTTCTAAGTGTAAAAATGGATGTGCACAGGTCACTCCTAAGGCTGTTCTCTGAGCTGAGCTGATTGATGGTCTAGAGAGTGCATGTACTCAGACAACGTAACCAAGCCCCCCTGCATGAGCCGAGAGCCGTCTGGTGACACAGTGGTGACATGGTGGGAGAGGGGTGCCTGGTTTTCTCTCTCCGTGTTGGCAGTGGGTGAGGACGCCATGGGCCTGTCCCTCCTAACAGGCTACATTAGCAGGATATCAAAATACAACAGAAGCACCAAATGGGGGAGGGGGTGGGTGGTGGGAGGCAATTAACTTCACCTGGAAGTGTTTCTCCTCCGAGCTTGATCTTGCAATAATTACTGAAGAAAACGAACAAATCAGAGGCCATTCAGAACCCGCTTCGTTCCTGAAGTCCATGCGCTTGCTGGCGGGGGAACCCCAGTTGGTATTCAGAATTAATGGAATTAGCTAATCGAGGACTGTGCCTCAGATGCTGCTCCGAACTCCGAGAACTCCTTCTCGTTCAGTTTGCTCCCAGGCTTTGGCATCCCTTTCAAGTCCGTGAATCCTGGGAGTGTTCTAGAACTCTCTGTGCTTTGACTCCCTGTCTCTACCACTTGCAGAGAGTCCCAGCCCGGCCAGCGGCTGCTGATGACTCAGCAATGGTTTATCTTTGAGCTCTTGGCCCTCAGGGTCCCCTGGGCTTCACTCAACAAGCGGCATTTGGGATGCCCCATGCGGAGCCCCCACGGCGGCCCCCCTGTGAGTGGGAACACTTAATTAAGTCTGCACAAAGAAATACAGCC